CAGTCAGTCAGTGTCTCTGTGCTGTAGTGTCCAGTCAGTCAGCTGTAGCTCTTCCTCTTACGGACTCCCTCCCTCCTCTCCAGCTCCTCTTCCTGCGCTACCTGTCCCGCCTGTGGCCGGCCTACGGCGCCGGCGTCAGCTACTCCGTGACCTGGTTCTGCTCCTGGTCGCCCTGCTTCCACTGCGCGCTGCGCCTTTCGCAGTTCCTGGGTCGCCACCCCAACCTGCGCCTGCGCATCTTCGTCGCGCGCCTCTACTTCTGCGAGGAGAACAACGTGGAGCCCGAGGGCCTGAGGACGCTGAAGAGGGCCGGCGTGCACATCTCTGTCATGACCTTCAAAGGTGGGGGGGTGGGCTACAAGTCCCATGGGTTTCCCTGGCTGGTGGGCAGGCATAGGACTACAAGTCCCATGGGTCTCACTGGCCGGAGGGCAGACATAGGACTACAAGTCCCATGGGTCTCACTGGCCGGAGAGCAGGCATAGGACTACAAGTCCCACGGGTCTCACTGGCCGGAGGGCAGGGATAGAACTACAAGTCCCATGATGCACTGTGACTGCATAGCCACCCACAGTGTCGGGGCTAATGACAGATGGAGTTTTTGTTTTGTAGTAGAGGGCACTGGGCAAACTGTTTTGCTGTAAGCTTGCTCACAGCCTGCATGGTACTCAGCCGACAGTTAGGTGGTCCCCTCTTTCTCCCCTCTCAGACTATTTCTACTGCTGGCACAACTTCGTCGCCAGTCGGGAGCGAGTCTTCAAGCCCTGGGAGGGGCTGCACCAGAACTCCGTCCGGCTGTCCAGAAGACTGAACCGCATCCTGCAGGTACAGCAGACACAACACAAACACAACACGCTGAGACACACGCAAAACAATCACAGTAGAGACACACAACTGACACCATACACACGGAGCAGGGAATACACCCACAATGGACACAACACACACACAGCAAACACAATACTCACAGCAGACGCAGCACACGCAGAAAAGACGCAATCCACGCCACACACAGTGACAACCAGCAATACACAAAAGACAGGCAGGGACACAAAAAGAAAAGTATTTTTCCAGCGAGCACAGCAATCAGCGGTCGATGCTGATAAAGTCACCATCGCCTTTCCTCCTGATGAACTTCCTAGAGCAGACGCTCCGGGCGTGACTATCTCTCACTCGGTGGTTCGGTGCGATACTAGCGGCAACAACGGAAGCCTACAGCACCAGGGCACCTGGCGGATGAAACGTCCGGAGCTCAGTACAGCGCAGTCACGGCCACTCTCGTGTACGGGAATGAGCCAGGGAGCCAGCTGCAAGGGTGAAGTTGGGGAGGAGGGAGGCGCGCAGGGTTGTGGGCAGTGGATATTTCTATGTAGGCAGTGGAGGTGTGAGATTAGATGTGTCCACCTCCCCTGACTTATCCGTTAGATCGCTCCGTTATTCCTCGTGATATTTCAGGCACAAGAATCGGAAAAAGCCCCCACCTGCGCGGGTGACTGATCCCACCCCTCTCTCTCCCTCTCCGTCCCGCAGCCCTGCGATGACATTGATGATTTCAGCGACGCCTTCGCCCTGCTGGGCCTATGACCAGCCCCTCCCTCTCCACGCCCCGGTGGTCCCGTCCGCTACCTCTCTCTCCGTCGCTCTCCCGACATTCCGTTACTCCGAAGGCGAGAGGGTGTCGCAGCGTCACTCCGACTCGGCCTCCCTCAGTGTTCAGACGTCGACTGGCCCCACGCGTAGATGTCAACACACAACTACAGTACGGGTTCATCTTCCACATCTCTGCTCTGTCCCCCCTCTCCTCTCTCTCTGCCCTGCTGGGCGTTTATTCCAGCACGTAGCCTCTTCTCCCGGTCCAGCGAGGCGGGAGACGCAGTTGAGAGAGAGGGGAATAGGAGTGAATGTGGGAGGGTGAGCAGAAACATTCAAACAGGTGCTTTTTCAATCCCTGTGGATTTGACTCCTGGGATTTCCAGTGCTTCACGAAGCAAAATACAATGGCATTAATAAGATTTCATTCTGATCTGTGCATCTACTGCTAAATGAATAATTAAAATAATTTTATTCAAAAGTATTGTTTCTTTTATTCTCTCTAACGGGTGTATATCATCTCTTCACATCCTGCTCACAGGCTGGGATAGGGGACTCTGGAGTGTGTGTGTCT